TTTGCAATGTAGTATAAATCTACATGATCTACATGACTAGAAAGAGCTAGTCTCAATCACGTCCAGTGATTTACATACCTGACGATGGATGAAGTCCAAAACAAGCCAAAAGAAGTACAGTATACACCATCGTCAGAATCCTATCAAGTCTATCTTGGTGGATCGTGTATCCCACACTCAGTGACATACCCAGGGATTTTACTGCTGTATTTACATATATTAAAAAATAAAACTACTTAAATTCCTATCATCACAGTCACCTTTCTCCCTGAGGAACAGACCTCACATTCACATATTATATTTGACAGTTCATATGGTATGGCAGCTGTTTTTAAGAAGTATGAACTATACAAATTTGTCTGGTATGTAGATTATTTTGCACACATCAATTTTGATTTTCCTGTAGTAGCACTATAAAATCTTTAGTTATAATTTTAAAATCCTTTAAAATTTTCTCTAAATTTTAAATTTTAAATTTAAAATTGTTAGGGTTACTCGCCCTATGTCTAAAGTGCTGCAGCGGCTAGTTCTTGTTTCCACACTATGCAGGTGTTATTCTGTGTAGTCTTCCTGTGTGCATGCCGCTGCTTGTCTTTACTAATCTACATACCTGAGAGATATCAACAAGGTAGATGTTGATAATAACGAAGAAAGTAACAACGTGTTTTTTAAATGTTAAATTTTAGACTGGGTTCAGTGTGGCATCAACGTAAGGGTATACACCTGATGATGGCCGCTAGAGGCCGAAACATGTAGTGTAGAAGAGAGCAAGATCAAAGACATATAATATATATTGTTTGCACTTGGGACGGAGTTTGTGTCATTTGTCGTGTAGAGTGCAACAGGATGCTTAAATATAATATCCTTATAACAGCTTAATATGAAAATATCAAGACTTGAATACTGAGAGTGGGTTTGCCTCTGACTTTCCTAGTGTTCAGCTATGACTTAGGCTGGATGTTGCTGCATGGAGATTCTACTGTTGAATAATGTCATCATCTTGTCAATGCAAGGATCCTTGAATTTGGTTTCAATTAACAGACAGAACAAGAATCTTTTGGGACACTGTATAAGTTTCAGATCACCAGTCATCTGAAAATAGCATAGGAAATAAGGAAGATCACATGTAGGAGGCTAAACGTACTATCTGAAGCCACCAGTGGTATTGCTGATTATTCACTGAGAATTTAGATTCTGAGGAGGTTTCAAAGCTGCATGCATTAAAAATGAGATATTATTCTTGGCTTCAAATTTCACGAAATATATTGGAGTTGTCCAGAATGTGCTTGACTTTGGTGATGGAGTTAAATGTATGGAATTGAACCTTTTTTTGATGGGATATTATGTTTACTGATGTTGGGATATGCATGAATGAATGAGGACCACTAGTAAGTACTAAAGACAGCTTATGTATACATGTGTGAATAAAAGCGTCTTATTATTTACTAAGGAATTGTTAAAAATTTTTCAGAAACCAGATTTATATCTCATCCACTCTGTTATATTTATTTAAGTTGCCAAATAAACCAAATTATCTACTCTCCTTGGAGTGTTATGGAGACCTATTTTCTTGGAGTTAACATATTCAAGAATTTATATGTTGCTATCTGATGTTTAAATTTTACTTAAGATGTCATTGCTTACCTAAGAATACTTCTCTGTGTAAAAGAGTACCATGGTTGCTGGGACTTTGATTTTATAGATATACCCATGACATCCTCACTAAATGTCTCTAAGTGTGCCTTGTTTCCCTATATAAACTACATATCCAGCTACCATAACTTTCTAATAAGAGTAGATGACATGAAATCATCATTTTCTTTATACATATTTTCCAACGTCTCTGCTTACATTCAGGGCTGTAGTTCTAAAAACAAAAGTGTCAGTGCAATTTGGTACATAGTCTCAGATTGCAATAAATGGGTATTAGTCATGATATGATTCCATACTTAATTTTAATTGATGATATCTTTACAATTTTAAAACTAGAACTGAATGACAAACAGGTGATATGATATGCATTTAGTTCAGGAGGTAAAATCTTCCACCGCAAAGAGAAAAGTTAGAAATTAAACAAGGTATAATAACTATTTTTTAAATAAGTATCACAGTGACTCCCCAGCACTCAATAAAGCACAGGGTTCAGTCCTTCTTGAGTAGCCAATAACTGCTCAGCCACTTAAGAAATTCTCAGAATTTTATGAATCCAAAGGTCCATTACTGTGTTCACAATAGCCTGCCACTAAACTCTATCCATTGACAGATGAATTCAGCCCACACCTTCCCATCCTATTTCATTATGATCCATTTGAATATTATCCTCCCACCTATATCTAGTTCATCTTATTTTACATGAAACTTAACTTTGTTCAAAATACTATAGTCAAAATTACAGGAATGTTACCATGATGATGTTAACAACAAAAGAAAAGGGATGGATTATTTATAAGTGGGATATTAGACAGATATATGTTAGAAGCCTAACTTTACAGTATATTGAAAGTGTACCACTCAAAAGATAGGTCTATGAGTAAGTTCACATTCATGCTACTGGGTTTGGCCAGTAAAATTGTGGATTGCTGTTCAGTCCTGAAATACATGTGAATTTTTAGTCTTTGTGTAAATTCCATTTGTGGTGAGGTGACAGAGGAGCAAAGCCTCCCCTCTCCCCCCTCTCCAAATCATACAACAATAGGTGAATATAAAAGAATCAGGATTAACTGTACACTCTTGAATTACTTTAAAACTAATTAATTGCATATAACATTCATTCTTGAAGACCTAATGGTTGTTCATCTACTCAGCATGTCCCTTTTATGAAACCAGAAGAATCCAAAAAGTACCCTCCCACCTTTTTATCAATAAGATCCATTTGGACATTATCTCTATTCTTCCAAGATCTCACTTTCCTTCAGTTTTCTGGTCAAAATTTTGTTGTACATTTCTGACTTCTCCCATATATGCTATATACTCTACCAAACCCAACCTCCTTTTATCTTCCAAATACTGTTTGATCATGAATACAAATTATACAGCTCCTCCTCACTAGTATTCTCCAGCTGCCTGTCTCTTCATCCCTGTTAGGTCCATATATTCTCCTCAGCAGCCTTTTCTCAAATGTCTTCAATATGTTTCCTTCCCTTAATATGTCAAATCAAGTTTCACACACATACAATACTACAGATAAAATTATACTTTTGTATATTTTAATCTTTACAAATTCAAACTAACTAAAATGATTATATCCACACACACCTATCTTTTTAAATGCATAATTCTACAATCTTTTTTTTTTTTCTAAATTTTATAAAAATATGAATTATAAAATGACATTATTTTATCTTCATTATGATAATTAAATGTTAAAAAATACTGAAATTAGTAATTCCATATAGAATTCCTTGGATTGAAAATATTATGGATGCTGAGGCACCAAACACATTATTAAAACAGCTGAACTTTGTAATACATCTCTGTTTTTTGCCATTCTGTATGACATAAAATTTGAATCTTTTGGGAAACATGGTTCTTGATAGGTGATTCAAATCACTATAGGATTAGAGTCTAAAGTTTTGGAAATTTCTTCCACAGTGACATATCCTAGTCCAAGGCTTTCTTTGGCTTTCTGTGCTACAAATATTGATTTATAAATCATTATTCTAAGAGTCTTGATGCCAGTAGAAAAGACTGTAAATACTTGAAATACTTTGAAACAATTTGAAAGACGTTTATAGTATTACTGTCAAAATAAGTATTTCTTTTTTTCACTGTTTCAGGCATAGTATCAGAAGAAAACACAATGTTGCTATAATTTCCCAAAACTGCTGTGTAACTTAATAATATACTTTTCACTTGTTGGATGTCACTAACTAGTGAATAACTGAAAGCAATGAGGTTTTGTAATTAAAGGTTCAATATAATTGTATTACATAACATCAGATATTTCAACACCGTACTGCCTTTGAAAACATACATATTATACATTCTATACTGATCTGCTATATTGTGGTAGTTGTCACCACATATTTACATATATGGATATCCTTAGGGAAATCTGTAAAAATAGCTAACACTACCCATGACAGACATGATCCTGAAACAGAACTTGAGCTTACATTTGTGAACACAACAAACATTTCTTAGAGTAAACATATTTTCAAAAATTTATTTATGGTCAAAATAAATGTACCAAATTGATAAGAGTGGTTTCAGTGGATTGAATGTGTAAGTAAGGCAGAGGAAGAATATTAAGGATGTTGATTGTAGCTCATATTTCTCAATTACATTTTCAAATACTTAAAATAGGAAAGGTTTCTACCAGCTGGCATAAAGTTTAATTCTAGAAAATTCACATCAAATGTTAATTGTTTTCAGAAACCAATAGTTGGCTCAGTTCAATGGAAGAAAGAAGTAGACCTTAGATTATGGATATTCTTGTTTCCAGAAGCAAAAACTGCATTGCCACAAATTTATTACAAATAGATGTAATTATTTTGCATTTTGTGGGTTTTGTGTTAGATTGTAATTTTGTTTAATTTTTAGTCCTTATATGAATATAAGAAATAAATGCGGGGATCTATTATGATTTTAATCAGTATTTTGAATGAACCAATTTGTAACACATGTTCCTGTCTAAAAGTAACAGTATGGATTATTTATTAATAGTCACTCCTATATCAGTCTGAAAAATTACCATATTCTTCAGCAAAACTTATCTATATATTTTGAGTTTGCATTAAAGCCAGCTTGCACATGTATGATCCTGTGTCAGGACAGTATACATTATGTGAATATTTTCAGTGAACAAGTTGTGAAAAGTATACTTCTAGTAAAATTATACGAGGATCCTTGGTAAATAAAATAACATGATATGATAGAAAGTATGGACTGCCTCTGTGGTTTAGTGGTCAGAATTCATGGCTACAGATCTACAGGTCCTGGGTTCGATTCACGGTGCTACCAGATTTTCTGAGAAGTAGTGAGTCTGGAATGGGGTCCACTCAGCCTCGTGAGGATAATTGAGGTGATACTTGAATGGAAAAGTAGCGGCTCTGGCCTAGAAAAACCGAAATTGATGGACGTCGGGATTCGTTGGCTGACCACGCGACACCCTCTATCCGCAAAAGTTGGCACTAACTTCGCCGACAAGTGGAGGTCGCTCGATCGCTATAGTTCGCTTGTGGACAACAGGCCACGGAGTTTCTTTTGATAGAAAGTATTTTTGAACTAGAGGATCAATGAGTAAAAAATGTTGGTATTACTAAATTCAGTATATTATGAGTATGAAATTTATTCCCACGTAATTTTACGAATTTTTCTGTGGGAACATAACCTCAGCATTATTTTAGTTTTCCTAATTTAATTTGAAGGGACAGTCTTGGAGGCACAACTTTTTCTTGTGCTTGTACAGTGTTGTCACTTTTTTATATATGCTATTTCTATGAAATATTTCAAACTTAAAAATTCATCATCCAGTAGACATGGTTATATGATTGCTGTAATGTATTGCTTTTATCAGTTCAATGTTCTAAAATTTAGTTAAAATTACCTATGGTTATTGTTAATTTTCACAATAGTATGAACTCCCTTTAACCAACTTTTAGAAGACTGTTGAATTTTCAACAATAATCAGAAGTAGTATTAACCAGTTTTTAAAGATTTGAACTACAGAAAGCAATATGGTGCAAGCAATTACATAAAAGTATCAACCTGGTGATGAAAGTATAAGGTGGAAATATGTCATAGAAGTAACTTCTATAGAAAATAGTTGCAATGTAGCATACAGCAGTCTGTCAGCATTAGAAGAAGTTTCACCTTCAAGATTTCCCATTCAAATTAAAGTTTTAAGCAGTGCAACATAATGCTAAAATGTAATATTATTTTAAATTTCATGTTACATTAGAAAACTAAGAGAAAGGCCATCAACAAACTCTTATTAAATCTTATGTTTTTTATGAACTTTCACTTACAAACTTCACCAAAGCACACTACATTATATAAAATATCAATAATCTGTTCAAAGCAATGAATTCTGCTGTACCTTCTGCAGCATCTTTACAAGACTGATATATTAAAAGTTCAGGTCCTGTTATCCTTTACTGTGCATCAGGTAAATAAACTGATTACAAACAACAATAAGGACATGTGTTCAACAGTTAACAATTTTTACAATTTCATGAAAAGAAACAGTGTGAAATTTTCTTTTACTCATTATAAGAATAAATCATTATCTATATATTTAAGTTTTAATTTTCCATTTCATTTAAACATGAAGTAAATTAAGGAGACAATGAAAATACAATATCACATTGATATGATGACATATCATACTTTCAGAGCAGTACTACAGTGACAACATGTTGTTACATTATAAAGTTTTCAAGCTGGAATTCTTTCTTCTTCTTGTTCCATCTCAATAAGTCTGTGTCACACTTTGGTACACAAAACTCTTCATATCTCCTGGCTCTTGTAGGGTTCCATTAATCGTACTCAGCTCCAATGGTGATGCTCATCTCATCCGAAACAATAAGGGTCTTGTGGTACCATCGGTTTGTGTCTAGCACAACTGTGAACAGATTTTATCATTAATTTATTTCACGTTTCATGAAGTATATCTTACCCAAAGGAATCGTGATACAATTGAATTTTGTCCAAGCTTCATCATCCTTCAGTGAACTAAAAAAGATATTGCAACTAAAGGCTAAATTAACATTTCCTTTAGTGTGAATAAAATTAACATTAAAGTTAAAATTATATGGTCACTCTGTATACATCTTAATATTCCAAATCTGATGAAACTGGGAATGAGAAACCGTTACAATCAGTTCGGAATTAATATATTGTGAAATTTAATCACATGATTTTTTATCCTAATAGCATATATCCACATACTCCACTACCTTCGTTAGGCGCTATATATTTAAAAGAAGACATACAATAGTATTCAATGATTTCTCTCATATTACTCTTATACCACCATGTTCAGATACAGTTATTTTGATAATAAATGATGTGGAGTACTGCTAATGACCACAAATATATATAAAATTTGTCTCTCCAGATATCTGCTTACTTAAAATTTAATATATGGTATTTAAATTTTACATATGGGAGAATTTTATCTCACTCAAGTAGTAAATGTTACACTATTAAAATAATCTAATGCTGAAAAATTACAGAACCCCCATCTTAACTAAGAAGGGAGAAAAGTACACTCCATTTTGCTCGTATTAATAATACATGGATTTTACATCACGCAGCTATCTCATTTAAAATGAGTCTTCTTTTTACAGATATATAGGATATAGATTATATCTTCATATGAAGCAGGAGTTGTGGTAGACTGATATTGGCCTACCTTGCATTTAATGTAGTCAACTTACATACTAAGCAGTCATTGCTCATGTCAGTCAGACTTATACGTTCATTCATTTTCAAGTAATAATTTAAAACACATATATTTCTAGCCATGTAATTAAAATAAATTATTTACCTATCAATGTTACTATAGCACTCAAAGTAACATGAGTATGATCTAGCAAGTATATCTTCAGATGTGGACATTTATTTAACTGATATGTAATTTCTGGAAATTTGTAATGTGCCGTATATGCTAAAGTAAGAACTGTGAAGCCAGTAGAGACAGCCATTGATAGGGTACGGCTCTGTAAACACGGCCGTTGTTAGGCAACAGATTCGTAACACACAACAATAGAGTACCTGGGAAGCAGTATTCTCTACGCAGTCTGTGCGATAACTATGTGATGCAACAATAGAATATCTGTTGGGAGAGGTGTTTTCTGTATGATCCGTGCTGAGCTATCATAAGCAGAACAAGTCTAGAATGAGTTGTCAGTCAGTTTGTCGAGAGATTTTGTAGCTGAGGCCAAGGACAGTTAGGGAACCCAGAGGAAGGGGAACCCCATATTCGAAACATTATACAAAGTCTACATCAGATGAAAATGCACCCCTACCTCTTTCCTTAAAAGAGTGGAACCAACAACACAAAACTATCCTTACCTCACACACATACACACACACACACAAAGCCAGAATAACTCCACAAGGAGCAACACCAACACACCACCGAAAAAACATAGGTTCACCTAAAATACATAACACGATAGAATATTAACTCTTAATATATAACACATTCCTGCCAAATAATAAAAAATATTAACACAATAAAATTATCACATATTAGAGATATCATACACAGTTCAATATGCACGTTGCTGGCAAGCAGCAGGTACCAGAATTTTATGAATTTTAGAGGAGTTTTATTGAAGTAAATATGCATTTTGCTTGCAACTAAATTGAAGTGACAGTGAAGCAATTTTAGTAAGAGTAACTTTGCTTAAGGATGACCATGTAGGCCCAAAGCATGTTATTCATGCATTACTAATATATTTATTAACCACTTAAGGTAGGTTCTCAATGCAGAGACTAATTCATGCATTACTAATACATTTTTTAACCATTTAAGGTGGGTTCTCAATGCAGAGACTATCTTCTGGGATGTGTAGAACCTAGGGAACAAAACTCAGCTTGCTTGCTTGCTTGAATCATTCTTCGTTCCTGAAGGTAGAAGCATTGTGTTCCTTCCAAATTTTGGTTACCTTCTACTAGATTACATTGCATTACACCCCAGAAGTCAGTACTACTTAAAACAGCTCACTATTCACTGATTGTCATCCTTCTATGTATGTGACAAGAGGATGACTCTGTATTAATGGCAATTCTATCGCTCTTTGAGAAAGACTAACAATTTTAAATTGTGCCCCTTTGGCACTGCATTTAGAAATCCTCACACTGCTTGCTGATGCTTAACTGTATCACAGCTCTGCACACAGATCAACACCGATGCCAGGGCTACATTTGAGAGAATAACTGGTCAAACTTAGCTACTTGAGGAAATGCATGCTTTTATGACATGTTTCCGCATGACAGATGTAAGGGTCGGTATGTCCCATTAAGAAGAGAGTTTTCTTTATATCTGTATGAATGCCTGAGCAAGCATCCAACGTGGCAACAGTGCTGGAATTTTGTATGGCGGTAAGCCTGCAGAATATCGTCTCAGCCAGTCCGGTAATATAAAAAACTGATAGGGAAGGCTGGAGTTTGAGAAACCAATCCTGACGTCACGCAGCGGGATGGACAGTCACTAAGATACTTGCTCTTTATATTCCTAAATAAGTAGCCGTGCTCTCAAACAGGGTAGAATATGGAGGCTCTCCAACATTTTTATGAGTTCCTGGAAACAGTCCTGGCATTCTTTCTTCTTTTTCAGGAAACTGGGCGAAGTGTAGAGATGTTATAGCTCATACAGGATTCCAGGATTTCAAGGGAACGACTGTTAATATTTCGGTCTTTTGCTTTGTGACGTCATTTAGTCTTTTTCTGTCTGTGGTTTTATATTTTACCGTTCTCAGCAGAATGCACAGTGGGCTTGGTTGAGTGAAGTAACTGAGATAAGGCCTTAGTCATATTGCGTCACCTTTCCTCCCTCTCTTCTGCAATTCAGCTGAAACCAGTGGCTCGGTACTTCTTATCGTACTTCTCACAAGCAACCCGCAGATTAGGCATAAACCACGGTTCATAGGACCTATGTGAATACCAACGTTTGAGAGGAATATGTCGCCTCTATCTTTGGGGCGGCCCGGAAAATAGAGGCACAGTATCCCTCCGAAAGCCTATGCATATGAACTCTAAAAGCTCTTTATCCTTTTTGTTTCAACCCGAATCTGTATGTCGGATCTCCTAAGATATTTTCTAGACTACAAACCCATTTTTATGCATCGCAATGGATAATCGATTTAGCCTATATATAAGAACAATTCTTCTCAAATTAATGCACATATCAGAAAAAGAAATATGTCTGTAACCCCACAGGACCGATTTCTTATGTTCTTTATTTGATACTGGTTCTACCTTGTTGTTTAAATCCAGGACCAGAAGCAAATATGTTAATATTATTGACGACTATTTAACGATTTAATAATTAACCTGTTAAGTGGTTATGGCGTCTTAACACGTCATATGGGACTCTGTATCGTAGTGGGCATGACGTCTCTATTGCGTATGGGGGGAGCGGAGGTATAGTACCGCCATTCTTCACTTCGGCACATGGTGAAGTGAGTGATCAGCTTCACGCCCCTGTTGCTTTAGCCCCGGAAACAGCCTCTGGTACCCACTGGATAGGAGGGTGCGTGGGCCCCCAGAATCGGTCTGATTTGTTCAGAGAAAAGAAAAATCTCTTGTACCTACCCGGAATCGCTGTACAGACTGAGCTATCCCGGCTCCTGTGCCGTGCCACAGCTCAGGAGGTTAGACACCGACTTCCCACCGCAGCGACCCGGGTTCGAGCCCAGGTCAGGTCATATGGGATTTGTGGTGGAGAAAGTGGCAATGCAGCAGGTTTTCTCCGATTACTTCGGTTTCTCCTGCCAATTCTCATTCCAACGATTGCTCCACATCCGTCAACTTCTATCATCCGAGGCTGATACAATAGGACAATTAGTTGCCGACTTACTAGTGGACTCAGTTTCAACCCGTCCCAAGAAACTAAAAAAGAAAAAATAACTGAAGTCTTCGACAAATCCTATGTGATGTCTGGCTTCTTTACAAGGAAAGCCATCTGTCTTTCTGTTCTAAAGTATGTACAATCTGTGGTAGGCTCTTTGTAGAGAGGATGAACCATTATTGTTTGTATTTTACTGTGGTAATCCTCTGTCACTAGCCGATCACAGTGGCCGCTCGATCTAAAGGCGTGTACACACTAGCGAGCTGTTGCATGTAACGTAACGGTTACTGTAACCACGTCTTCGTATGGACGACACGTCCATAGTCGTCATGTAACAAGCTTCGAGCGACCCGATCCATAGCGCTCGTGGTGAGCTCGCCATGAAGACATGTCTCCTCCTTATCGCCTGAGTTAATTGCTAGTGCGTCGTATATCCTCATACACCACTTAATTGACGACGATAAACGCCCACGAAGATTCTGGCAGCATGCACTATACAAAGAAAGATGCGGTCCTGCTTTACTTTTGGATTTGAAATCGCAAACAATTAGTGGGCATTACAAAAATTTCACCCGCCTGAATCCAACGGACTTCGAATATTTGATTTATCTGGTTGGACCTAGGATCCGGAAAAGGAACACTAAATTCAGAGAGGCAATTTCGACGCAAGTTCGATTAGCTGTGACATTGAGATACTTGGCGACTGGGGATTCTTTTACAAGTTTACAGTATCTATTCCGTTTATCCAAGCAAAGTATTCAGCCCATGCATCGTCTTTCAGGTGTCTCTTATAATAATTTCTATCTTTTGGGTCCCAAAGTAACGGTTTGTTCCTGTAGATTTCAATTAAATTCAGGCATTTCTCATCGCCCCACTCCATAGCGATTCGCAACGCAACTCCTGGTGCGGAGGAAACGTACACATTTTCGAGCAAGCTAGTGTGACGTCCACGAGCCTGCTGCGAGTCCCTTTGTGTTCGCAGCAAAAACCGACAAGGCAGTGGCTCGCCGGCCGTACAGAGCGCGCTCGAAGTACGTTCGCGA